TTCTTATCTCAGTGGGAAGGAAGAGGAGGGGACTGTTATTCTGTCCTGCTAGCAGAAAACTGCCCAGCTGCCAGTAAGCTGGATCAGTAAGAATCACAAGATATTATGAGTTGCGTCTACATTATATACACGAGGAAAACAAAGGTTAAGCAGTCTTCACATAGAGTTTATAGAGAGTTATCTAAATTATCCTGCAATGGAGGTTTGGTCATTTATCGTGTAGTATAAATCAAGGGTCAGTAAACTATAAGTCAAATAAGACATTCCTCCTACTTTTGTAAGCAAGAGTTATTGAAACAGTAAAATGCACTCATTTATGTATTATCTATGGTTGATACCATCCTACAACTGTAGAGTTGAGTTACTGCAATAGAGACCATATGGCTCAGGAAGTCTAAAATATTTCCTATCTTACCTTTTACAGAGAAGTTTGCCAACCCTTGGTATAAATCTACTATTATTTACATATTTCATTTGCACTAATGAGTATTTTTTATCCTATAACCAATACAAAGTAATAAATTAAAGAAACAATTTACATTTTTAGTAATAAATTCAGTTTCAAATTTATGTTTCCCTAGAAAATTGATGATGAAAATGTAGTTTGCCTCTAAACCATGTTATTGCTAATGATCCACCATAGGGTATTAGTGGCATCACTGAATAGATGAAAACCAGAAGGAATGTATTAGTTGAGCAACCACTGGCACCTATTTTAAATGTCGGTAATTATTTTGGAAGACTGCCTGTGGATGATGAGTTAGGTGTGGAAGCAGAAGGCTTTCTCACATCTCACTCCGGAAAGGACGTCTTTCCATTTAAATCAACTAACTGTCCCAAAATTATTTTTCTCATTTTCTATGGAAAGTTCCTCTGTACATAAAAAAGTAAAGTGATAGTCATCAAGGTGTGGGCTCATTTAGCAGAAAGCTTCACTCACAGTTAAAAGATGCCAGCTTGATATTAATAAAATGAGAGACTTCAAATTGACTAACAATTAACTCCAATAACAGTTTGACTTTTCCTTCCAATTCATTATATTAAAATTTTACAAGTCTACTCTGGTGAAGGCAAGACATCTGCCAATATTGATAATATACTGCAAATTCAGTAAAAATGTTAAAAATTAAAGTTATTTGTTCTTGTGGTAAAATTATAAATGCAAATGCTGTGTATATCATGAAATATGCATTGTTTTGATCAAATTGAAAAAAGTATGGAGCAAAAAATATACTTGAAATTTATTGTGGCTCATGTATAATTCACTTTTGGATTCAAATTAGTTATAATATTCACACAATTAAAATAGAAACCATGGTTGCAAAATTTACAAATAATTTTGAATATTCGTAGAGTAACGGAACTCAATTTTTTCAGACACAGCTATTATTGGAAGTAAAAAGTGTAACACAGCATAATGTGTTTTCCTTACTGCTGTTGGATTTAAGAAACTTATAGGCCTCTGAAGAATGACTTTGAAAAATGAACCTAAGTGTCCAGGAAGGTTTTGACATTATAGAAAAAAGATCATTAAATGCGGTTGCTACTTGTTCAAAATAAGTTTAAAGCATTTAACTAAATAGGTTAGCAAATTAAGCACCAAAAAGTCAGTGTTTGAAAATTTCAGTTCAGTTGAGTTTTTCTTTAAAAAGTCATTGAAATTGATTTCTTCATAACGCAAGAAAGAAATCTAGCAAATTCAATGATAATAGTTAAAAGAATGTGTACAATTTAAAATATTATAGCAGTGCTTTGAAATAGCTAGATTTGTAGGAAGCAGCATTTGAGGGGCTCTATTTCACGGATAAACTTATGAACTAGAACGTAATGGAAATAAATTGACAGGGTCTACTACTTTGCAGCATCTAAATTCAACCAGTCAAAAGCATAATAAATATAAATAATTTATTTCATGAGGATATCTTGGAAAATGTTTGCCAAAGAAAATAATTTTGAGTAGAGTCAAACATAGGATTCGAATGAAAATATTTGATTTACATATTCTACATAAAAATAGATTTGAGAATACTTTCCATTTGGCAGACTTTATTTTTAGATTAACAGGAGCCTCACCATATGTTCAGTGAAAATACCCTTAGTTAAAATAGCATGGTCAACAAAAGAGTTAAGTAAGGCCATTAATAATTTAAAATTTATTAGTCATAAATGAAAATTTGAAAGGGGTCATAGATAACTTTATGATAATACTAAACAATGAAATCATCTTGAAATAGTAGTCATTCTTCAGAAGAATACCAGGAACACAGTATTAGAGGTATATATGGCTAAACACAATTTCTGCTTGTTTTGTATTATTCAGACAATAAAATTTTTTAAAATTTTCCTTTTATATGAGGTCATGTAACAATTATTTTCTTCAGAAAGAATTTTGTTTTAAAAATTTTAATAGAGCTGCTTTGTCTGCCTCTTTTTTTTTTTTTTTTTTTTTTTTTTTTGAGGTGAAATCTCACCCACCCAGGCTGGAGGGCAGTGCCACACTCAGAACCACCCCACCCCAGCGTTGACCTGCTGGGCTCCAGCGATCCTTCAGCCTCAGCCTTCCAAGTAGCCGGGACTAAAAGTACCTGCTACCACACTGGCTAATTTTTTATTTAGCGTAGAGATGAGGGCTCACCAAATTGCCTGGGCTGGTCTCGAATCCGTGGACTCAGGAAATCCACTCGCCTCGGCCTCCCAAAGTGCTGGGATTGCAGGGTGAGCCACCGAGCCCGGCCTGTCTGCCTCTTTAAAATCACTAATTTTCAGCCAGGCTCAGTGGCT